GACAAATATGCTGCCCACTAGCCACCTCTTGCTTCTCCTTGTTCATGGTTCATGCTACTAATTGCATGTGATACTCTTACTCTACATCCTGATGTGATTATTGCATTCTTCTCAGCTCAGTGCTGTAGGAGGCCATTAATACCGGGTTGGAGGGAAGATACTGATTGAAGCTGTTCCTCATAACAGTGAGCATAATATGTTCTCTTCTGCTTTGATAGATCTAAATTGTATGCACAGTGTGGATTTTGTGATACCCAATAAAAAAGTTCTAGGAAACAGCCCTGAATGGGCTGTATATTATCAAGTCATCATGTGTAATACAGGATTGTAGCATAAACTTGTACTGGCTCCTACTGTGGTTAGGCAACCTTCACAGTGATTGCAGGGAATGTGCTCACAATAACCAATAACCCCAGTCAACACTTCCAAGAAAGGAATTCATCCTGCTGCTTTTCACTGCAAAGAAGAGTGAAGGGAGATCAGAACGAAGACTTACTTATCATGCCCTATTTTTTCTCTCTCATTTCTTTTCCCTAAACCTGATTTCCATAATTGCTGTATGTTATCTTATTTGCAAGGAAGTTCAAAATGCAAACATTAATGCTTTTCTTTTAATATATTATAAACTCTAATTTTGAGTTTACTTAAATTTTCTATAAAATCTGGTGGGTAATAATGGAAGTTATAAGGATATTCTGAATGAATAAGTGAATGAGGGATGTTTCGAATAAATGAAATGCATACAGCAGCTTTTGATGGGATATGTTTATTTTGCTAGTTTTTAAAAAAAATGGCTTTTCTGCATTCAGGAAAGAGTTTTCATTTCTCCACTCTTGCCTTCAACAAATTGTGTTGAATCTCATTCCCCATATACTGATTATATCTTAGGCAGGTGACATAACTTTTCGGACATGAGGAACACTATCTTTTTCAGATTTAAGTAGTCCAGTTCCATCTAAAAAAAAAAAGAAAGGAATTCTGTCCACTGTGCAGTTGCAAGCTCTGCCTCTCCCCAGGTAGAGGTTCGTGAGGGCTTCCCAGACCAGTGTGAGAGCAGGTACATGACTTCTGTTCTCAAAGTTTTTTCTTTATGTGGACTCCTCCCTTTCGTCCTTCTGTTTCAGACTCCTCTGGCTGGAGAGGAGAAGATGAAATATTGCTTTTCTGGCTCTGTTTATAATTCTTGATTGTTCATTTCATGGTTTCTACCAGGCAGATCTCTCTCTCAGGAGGGAGTTTTGTGGGTTTGTAAGCACTCCCCACTCTCAGTCTCTTAACATCCATGCTGCAGACCCCTATCTTGGAACATAAAAATACCTCTCAGCTCTGGCCCAGAGATTCCCTCTGGTGTCCTCTCATGCCAACAAGAAACCCTCAAGGGTAGAATCCTTTCATAAAGGATCTATCCCAGTTATCTTTGGCAGTGTCTACCTGGCTTTTAGGAAATTATATATGCTTGTTCTACCAAACTCTGGAAATATATATCATTCACAGAGCTCTTTTCTCTCCTTGTTTTCAGACAAGAATGATACACTGGTCTTCATGCGTCCCATATTCCAAGGGACATATGCCTAGTTTTCCAAAGACCTCTTTCATTGCGTATGTTCATGGTTCTATGGGGTTGTCTTTGTTCATTCAGTTTGCTATAACAAAACATCATAAACTATTGGCTTAAAAAGAACAGGTATTTATGTCTCATAGTTCTGGAGACAAGGAAGTCCCACACCAGGGTGCTGGCAGATCTGGTATCTGGTTCATAAATAGCTGTCTTCTTGCTATGACCTCATATGGCAGAAAGGGCAAGGAAGCTCTTTGGCACTCATCCTAATCATGAAGGCTCCACTATTGTGATGTAATCTCTTCCCAAAAGTTCTACCTTTAATCATGACACTGGGGGTTAGGATTTCAACATATAAATTTGGGGGGACATAAACATTCAGGCTATAATAGGTGGCATCCAACTCAGAGTTCCAAAGTTCTAAAAATGCTAAGTCTGGAGGTCAATATACCTTACTTGTGATTGATTCTCAGTTTCTATTTTAAAGGGAAGCTTATTGTCCCTCTCCCTTAGCTTAGAATTGGAGAAAAGATGTATCATCCTTCTGCTTGTATGAAGGATACACAGTCCTTTTTACTTCTATTAATTACCTCCTGTTATACTTTCCTCTCTGATCAATCTTTCTTGAATTTCTTATCTTTCTTACATAGGGCAGAAGTGGACTAGAGGCTAAGGGTTGCTGAGATGATTTTGCTCACCTCTTAGAATATCTGTGGCGAAACTGTGTTGACATATGTGATCCATTGTCCTCAGCTCTGGGTCTCAATAGAAAATAAGAAATCTAACATAACATACACAATTGTTACAGACTGAAGAATTTATTCCCCTTAAATTCATTTGTTGAAACCCTGCCCAATGTGAAGTTATTAGGAAGTGAGGTCTTTGGAAGATAATTAGGATTAGATGAGGTAATGAGGGTGGAGACCTCATAAATGGAACTGGTGTCCTTATAAATGTCATCAGAGAACATGCTTCCTCTTTTGGCTCTCCACCATGTAAAGATACAAGGAAAAGCCCAACAGTCTACAACCTGGAAAATTGTTCTCACAAGAACCAAACATGCTTACAACCCAATCTTGGACTTCCAGCTCCCAGAAAGTGAGGAATTAATTTCTGTTGTTTACAAGCTACCCAGTCTATGGTATTTTTGCTATAGTAGCCTGAATTAAGACAATGGTATACTTTTAAAGAAAACTAAGTCTGCCACAAGTCAGGCTGGTTTTACATTACTTTTCATAGACTCCCAGAAGAGATAAGAATCGTAGATGTCAGCTCATCACATGAAGGTTAAATTTACTCTGCAACATCCCTATCAATAATTCATTCGGTCTCAACACCCCCAGTCATGGTGATGACCCATTATTTTTGGGAACAGCTCTAGTTATAAGTCTGTCTGTGTATTAAGCCAAATTTGCTTGCTTCACTCTAATTTCTTTCCAAGATTTTTCTTTATTCTGTTCTTTGAAGCTGAACAGGACAAACTGTTCTCTCTCTCTCTCTTTTTTTTTTTTTACATGAAAATCTTTAAATATCTAAGGAGAACACAGATGTTTTTCTTCTTCTTTTCTCTCTTGAAGACTAAGTAATTCCATTGACTCTAGTTGTTCCATACAGAGAAACTTCCCTGTCAATAGAGAGGTCTCCTTTGGACACAGTTCATTTGCCCAGGGAGTTGGACTTACACCAAGTAGATTGGGAGAATTGTCTCCCTTATTTTTGGGTACTCCACTCCTCCCAACCCTGAGCATCTTTTCCTGGTAGAATCCTATTCATTCTTTAGAATTTAGACATCTCCTCTCTGTCTACGTCTGTTCTTAAATATCACTTTATATGTACACCTTTATTTTGGCACATATGACATTGAACAGCGATTTTATCTATTCAGTCATTCATTCATTATTTATTTTACAGCCCTTTTCCCTACTAAATGCTAAGCTCTTTGAGATAAGAACAATGTGTTGTTATTCATTACTGGATTCCCCTTAGGTCTGGCACAAACTAGAGACTTGACAAATGATGTTGAGTGAATGCATAAGTGACTGCGAACTAAGATTTGTCTTTTTAGCAGTTATGTGGTATGGTAGAATCATGTCGAGAATGTTGCCAACTTACATTTCTGAGACTTCACTTTTGCTCTGCTAAACCAGGCTTTCTCCAATACAGCTACATTATACATGTACACTTTAACCCTATGTATACATTGCAAAATTAAGATCTGAAAAGTATAGATATATTTTAAAGATTTTCTTTATTCATTCATTTAAGAGAGAGTGAGAGAGCACCAGTGGAGGGGGAGGCGGAGGAGGGAGGGGCAGAGGAAAAAGGAGTAGCAGATTCCCTGCTGAGCAAGGATCCCAGTACCATGGGATCCTGACCTGAGCTGAAGGCAGAAGCTTAACTGACTGAGCCACCCAGGTACCCCTAAAAAGTATATTTAAATTTAAAATATTTCCATATTATTTTAAACTATTTATTAATCCAGAGTAGACTTTATATTAACTCACAGTACAACAGGTAATTGAAAACAATGAAACTTAATATCTTTTAACCTGTCCTTTCTTTCAGATTACTTTCTCCTGGGAGGTTTTATTAGCTGTTTATGTAAAACTTCCTGATGTAAGCTATCAGGTTTCTAAGAACCAACAAGGACAACAAGGTAAAGCAGAGTTTTGTGGTTTGCTTTTGTTCCTTTTTGATAGCATCACCCACTGTGGAGGAAGAAAGAGCTTTCTTGCTCCTATTCCCAAATTCTGTGTTTTGGACAATGTGATCTATTTGTTTTCATGTCTGCAACATGTCCACTAGGTTCCTTTAAGTGTTTCTGTGTCTTTTCCTCCCTGAAGACCAGATCAACTTGCTCATTTTGACAGCAATCATTTGGCACAAAGTACCAAAACAACGTATGAGCAACCAAAGTATGTTCTCAAGCAGACTTGAGTAGAATAGCAGACAGATAAAATAGAAACTCACTCTTCATCTGGAATTTTCTCTTTCTTTGAACTGTCCTTTACTTCCCCTTAACTTTTCATGTTTGTTTGTTTGTTTGTTTTAAAGCAAAAAAAAAAAAAAAAGATTAATTAGCTTTGTAATTTCTCTTGCACATTTACTAGGTTCATAGTGTTTATTATGACATGTCATATTATAAAGTGTGTGGTGTGGGAGCTGTGTTTGGAAAAAAAAAAAAAAAACACCTGTAATTCTATTTTAACCATTTATCACAAAATTAGTATTTTTTCCACTAATCATGTCATTATTTACTGTATGCTTAAGTGTGCTTTATTCTCTTCTGGATCCACTTCCCACCTCGACTCCCCTTCTCCATAGAAGAAATGCTTATAGTTACATAATGGATCTCCATGGAAAAATCAGCTCAGGTTATATTAAACTTATTGTACTTGGCTATTTGAAATTTTCATTATAAGTGCCTGAGAACACAAGGAAGGATGAAAATGGAATGTGAGGAATCAGGTAAAGATTAGTGGACTACCTTGGGATGAGTCTCGAACATCTTTGTTGTGTAAACTTTTGCTTTCATATTTTTAGAGCACTTATCTAAAAATACTTTTTACAACCAAAGGCAATTTTTCCAACCCCTTGATGATTATGTTCACTAGAAACAGAAGTGTGTTCCAGTAAGTCTGATTTCTATTTATATGTTATCAACATTTTAAGTAGTTTTCCTCTCTTTCTTCATCCCTGTAAACTCCCTAAATTCAAATTTTGCATTCTCTCCAACATTTAGCACATCGTTGGTGCTCAATAAATGTTTAACAGTTGGGATACTTATGTTTAACAGCTGCAACATTGACTCCAAGGACAGCTGCATTTTAATGGTGTGTGAAGTGATTTATATGTAAGCTGCTAAAACTCATAACTAAAGCACTTAGCACTTTAGGCTCCTCTGGGACTAAAGGTGATAGATTAAGGTAAAATGATATTATTATTTAATTCCAAAAGAGGTAAATTACTCTGGCAAAATGCTATTTGATGTTGCTGGCAAACCACTGTGGTCTAATGCTACGCTGCCATCAGGAAACATGGCCCAGCGGTTACAACTGTGGTGTAGGAGGCAGGAGTCCTGGGTACTATTTCTGGTTAATTCACTGACTTCCTGGGTCACCTTGGGCAACTCACTTAACCTCTCCATGCCTCAGTCTCCCTCCTTAGGAATTGAGGAGGGTAAAGATTTTCAACATTCTGTTCTGAAGGGACATTTTAAGAATAAAACTTTGAAATGTTTCATTTGTCATTTTTGCAATAATGGATGATTTGTTTTTCTCCCAGCTGCATTGCTGGCTATAGGAAGGCAGTGCATATTAATATGCCCTTAGCTGGAATGCACAAGTGAGTGCTTAGAACGGCCATGGGCTCAGGAGTCTGTATTTCAGAGCAGACACCTCTCCCCATAGCTCTGTCTCATGGCTTAGCTTGATTCCACACTTGTCTGTGCACAATTCTTCCCATTTTGCCTTCACTGTTTTTACAGATTCTGAAGAAAAGAAATAAGCACAAAAATCAACACATGGTGGTAAAAACAGTTTGGATGGTGAATCAAATCTGTCAATGACCAGAGAAGAGCCTGCTCATGTGTTTGGGAAAAATGACACACGAAACTCAAAACTTAAAGCTTCTGCAGTTTCTTAAGTTGAAGAAGGAGTAGAGGACAACAGAGGGTCCTTATCTCAGTCTGTTTCAGCCCAGAGAGCCTGCTGAATGAGTATGTCATATAATTAGAGCACCGAGCTTTTCAGATTTATAGGACCGTATTTTGAATTTTAACCACTTTTCTTCCCTCTGAATTCCTGGAATGGCTACTTAGGCTGCTGTTCTTGGCAACACTTAGGCAGGTAGCAATTCATCCACACTACCTGTCATATGTAAGTTCTTTCAGAAATTAGGAGGTACAAGGTAGGCAGCACACAGTGGGAAAAGAGAGAATAAGAGAATATCACTATGTAAAATCTACTTAGTTTTGTAAGTTATAGACTAAAATGTTCCACTAAAAAATTTTCCTTATGATTCTTTGTCACTGATGAAAATATATTGGGCTTTTCTTGGGAGTATGGAGACTGTCACTGGCTATGATCCTCATTTTAACTATCTTTAGAAAGACAATAATTAGCACACACTTAAATAGTGCAATTGCCCCTGGACAGGGAAATTGAAGTAACCTTGAAGGATACTGGGAAATACAGTGATCATGAAGGTAAAGAAAAAAGATTGTATGGGGGACATAAATATGCTCAGCTACTTTTTTGAGTTTATGAGATATGGCTACTGGTCACCATATATTTTATTTTTTTAACTGGTGATAGTTGTATACTATGCTGTGATTTATTTCTATTTTGTAATTTTTTTTTTTTTTTTTGCAAAAAGCATCTTAATTCAGGTATGCTTTTCTAGTATGAGAATATATGCTAAGTTTATAAAACTCTCCCAAATGTGGACTGAAAGACAAAGAATTGGCTAGGCTCTTATTTACAGCTTTAATCAAGATATTTATCATGCAATGAAAACAACTTTTAACCATAAAAGCTACTTTTAATACTAAAATTCCCACAGGAAAAAATAAAATCAATATTATGAGTCTAAGACATTGATTAGAGCATAGTAGAGTCTAAAACTCTGTTTCTCCTCATTACTTTTTTAAAAAATTTTTTGTATATAATCATTACTTTTATAAAGACTTAGGTTAATTTGAGGTGTCTTTGGAGTGTGACTTTCAGATTTTGGTAGAAGACGAAATAGGTACTAAATGCCAACAAATCCTTATCAGAAAAAATATGTGTATATATAATACTTAATACAGGTAGTAAGAAGCAAAGATTTTATGACAAATAAGATTTTGTGGCAAATAAAAAGCTATATAAGGAGATAATTGTTAATGATTCTTAAGAATTTTTTTTTTTTTTTTTTTTTTTTTTAGGGAGAGCGCAGGTTGAGGGGAAGAGGAAAAGGGAGAGAGAGAATTCCAAGCAGACTCCCCACTGAGCACAGAGCCCCCTTGGGACTTAATCTCACAACCCCAAAATCATGACCTGAGCAGAAATCAAGAGTCAGATGCTTTAACTGACTGGGCCAGCCAGGCACCCCAATTGTTAAGAACTTTTAATGCTGATTTCGTTATGCTGAGTATGAAGGTATTTTGAGGAAATGACACATCAGTTAATGTTGATGTTAACCCACAAATAAGGTGTGAAAGACAGCAATGGCTAAAAAATACAAAATTTTAAAAAGTAAATAAATTGAATTGAATTTCACAAAACATTAAGGTATTAAGCCAGATTTATCCAATGTATAGTATACCTCAAATCTTTGTGACTCAGTGAAATCAAACAGAGATGAATTATTTGATTAGATTGACTTATGCAGGTAAAAACAACATAATTACTGACTGCCAGGTTTTACCAACAACACTATGAGGTATGTTACTAACCACAAAGAAAGGTTAAGTAACTCGTCTGACATCACACAGCCAGTAAGTGATAGAACTGAGACAGCATAAATTGACTTCACACTATGTATTCCCAACTGCTACACTGTGTTCCCACTCCAGGAATTTTGTGAATTCTGCAGACATGGTGGGACTAAAGTGTCAAGATGCTAGGTGGATTTAGGCATGCTACAATGGTCTCCATATTAGCAAAATTACCTTTGAGAGATACAGACTCAGCTATTTTTCCCTATCCACGATACACATAAACGCGGATACACACACAGATACACACATTATCAGCTTGTAAGGTAATTCTCCAGTGTAATAATACTATCTCAGAATTGTAAAGATCTACAAGTAATTTGAAAAAGCTCACATGGATGTATTTATGTCAAGAACCCCGAGGGTCTGAAAAAGCACCCTACTTACAAGCTAAGGGTTAGCCTACCATAGACTCATGAATGCTCGAAAGAGATGATTCCTGTGTTGGATACAAAGGCCTCGGTTATTCTTGGCTAAACAGGCAGCATAGGCTTCATGTTTACACTGATACCCTTCCCCACTACCAGATCCCAAGGGAGTCACTCAGAGACAGATCGAGGTAGATGCTGTGCACACAGTGTGTTTGTGTCACAGCTGAGAAATCCAGTCTTTAAAGGGGCTGCAAGCAAACCTGCCCAACACTTGCCTGGAGGGACACCTCACCGTGTTATATTACTGTTATTAGAGTGGGCAGCAAAGAAAACTACCTGCTGTCCAGGAGGGTGACACTACCTTTGCCTTCCAAGGCTGCTTGCCACTCTCGAAAAGAATGTCTTAAAAGACATTTTGGAAAAGATATCTGGGATAAAAGTTATTAGTAACTCTGCTGACAAGATATGCACATTCACATAGAGACCCATGGAGAACTGTCTCCCAGCCATATATTGTTTTCCATAATCCTTGCTGTCTCATTTGACACAAAGTCTGTGAGATTTGTAGGGTAAATCTCAATCTTATATTTTCTATTTTATAGATTTTTCTAATTATAAAGTGATTCTATTGACTAGATAAGACTAATATAGCTTCTGTAACCTAAAAATAATTTAGTTGATGAAGTATGTTGGTATTTGAAAAAAATCCCAAATAGACAAATTGATATTGAAGGAGAATAATTCTTATAAAATAAAGGATTAATGTAAAAGGGATTCCCCCCAATACTATTTTATATTCTTTGCTTATTTCTTATTAGCTATTTGACCAGGGGCAAAGGAGCTAGGGTCAGGGTATGTATTGGTAATCACTGACAATTGAAGGAGGAATAGAAATAAAAATAATATACTTTGTAATTTACATTATTAATCAATAGAAAAAGAAATAGAAGATTGATCTGAATTGATACCCTATGGAGGACTACATCTTATATGTTAAGCAATGTAAGCCTGTATAGAAATACCATTACATGAATAATGCACTTAGCTGCCCAGGTTCCAGGGTGTATAACTTCTAAGTGCACTCAATTCTGAGACCAAGACATCCTTTAATAATTGGACGAGTTTAAACCCTAATGAATGTGTTCTACTCCAGGAATTTCAAAGTAATTTGCTACTATTACGAGGCTCTTTAATTTAGACAAGGCAGGTTAGATTTCAGCCCACTTTGATGAACAAAATCAAGCCACAGAAAGTTGGTTATTTGTCTATCATTAATGAACAAAGAAGAGATATTAATGTAGTGTCATGTAGGGGGTGTGTGAGGGCTGGGGATAGGATGGCTCTCATTTTCTGTCTCAGCTCCTACACGAAGTGATAAAAAAAAAAAAAAGAAAAGCAAGGAAGCCAGTGGAAGTCTCTGCCAGCTTGAAGTGAATTAAAGCAAGCAGCCAAAGGGCAGTGAATAGTGTTGAACATTTACTCAGAAGTACTCTTTGGGTCTGTGGCTATTTCAACACCAAATGAGATTATTGTTTCTCATTTTAGGAAGCCTTTCCATTATTACTGATGACCAACACAAGCAGAAAAATGGCCACGATTGTACAACATCCAAAATATATTTGCAGTAAATTCTGGAAGATTTGGCCTCATCCATCAATTGAATAGGTTGTCCTAAATACAAAAGATCATTCAACTCACAGCATCTGTGTAGCTGTTGACAAGCTATCATTGTTCAGTGGGACATTTAAACCTTGTCCTTCAGCAAAGTGAAGTAAGGGAAACATTCTCATCAAAAGTCAAAATCTAAAAAGCAAAAATTTGACTGTCAAATGGTCAAGTATGTTAAAGGTGAAAAATAAAGCTGCTCAAACACTTGGGTCTTTTTTTAGACTCTTGTTTCCCTGGCGCGTAGAGTCTGAGGCATGGCTCCTTTTCAGTCACGTTTCATAATTCTTTGTTCACCTACACATAAGCTCTGGACTAATAACAGTAAGGTCATGTTAACAAATTTATACACATTTCTAATCACTGTGTGGTTATTAATTTGGGGTCTATTTTAATGACTAGATCTTTAAACCTTTTGTTGCTATTTACCAGTTCCCAGCTCAGAGATATGTGTTACAGAATGAATGGGAATTCAGTATGAAAGATCAATATGAACTTAAAATTCAATTCAAAGCTGAAGATACTTTATTAATTATTCTCTTTCTAGGATTTAGCAGACCCACACCTATAATAATTGCAAAAAATAGTAGCAAAGATGATATAAGTAATATATTTTGTCATTCAGGTAAGTCCTAATAGAAATGTATCATCTAAAATTTTGGTTAAATATTGCCTTTACTTGGGGGTAAGGTAGGGTTGTCAGATAAAATGTGAGATGACTAGTTAAATTTAGATTTCAAATAAAAGATTATTTTCTTATCAGTATGTGTATGTTTGAAATATTGCATAGGACAGACTTAATTCTAAAATAGTCTTTTTGGTCTAAAATTCAAATTAAACTAGCAAAATCTCTTTTTTTCCCCTAAATCTGGCAACCCTAGTGTGAGGGAAAGTCGATGTTTGAAAATAGGAAGATTCTATTGAAGTCTCAAATAGAAAAGGTGAGGACATAGTTTTTAAGACAACAAGGCAGCTCTGGCAAGGTTTTTCTTATCCTCCCCGTTTATCAAACAAACAAGTTACCAGTACCATTTGTCCTCATCACAGTCCTGACCCATTTTTTGAAGTCCTCTGGTTTTTTTTTTTCCCTAACACTTCAAAAGTCAATTCATCACTCTGCTTGGAGATTTAGTTTTCCCCAAGTATCAGGCAGCCACGAGATGGCAGCATCAGCCCATCATACCCCACCCCCTCCCCAGCAACCCGAAGCCAATTTTTTGTACCTTGTCCTCTTTCTCTTAGCAGGTTTCAGCTTGTCACTTTTCTTCTTCCTCTTTGTTTTCTATTTTTACTTTTATTCAAATGCCAGAAAAACCAGCTGGTGGAAGAAGTCATGTGGTGCTCCACACGTTTGTCGCAGGGGGTGCTGTGACTGAAAAGCTTAACTGATTTTCTAGGCTGCCGGGCTGGATATCAGGCAGGAGGGCAAAGGGACACATGCTCTGAAAGCTGCGGCTGGGTTGATGAGGACACAGAGTTTGACTGTGCTCTGCTAAGCCCTGGACACAAGGCCGGTCCTCCTGCATGTGGGAATCTCTCTTGGCTTCTGGCAAAGATAGCCAGGAACAAGGAAGTGGGGTCGGGAGCTCAGGTGAGACTTCCCCAAGACTGGAGTTTGATTTTTAGTGGCTGTGATTTGTTCTTTTTTTTCAGGAAATGAAGTTTATTTTGACAGAAATAAAGTCATTGAATTGCCAAACTGTATACACGGAGGTGTCAGGAACTGATCTTGAATTTGTAGAGCGAGTTGAGTACTCTAGAGGTTTTTTTTTTAAGTTGTGCGAAAGAACTTTACCATTTTGTTAAAGACAGAATCTCCTAAGATTCTTGCTCCAAGGAAAAAGAGAGTTGGAGAATTCTGTGAAGTAAATGGGTTAAGTGAGTTTGAATTCCATTCTTGTCCTTACTAAGCACACGTTATCCATATAATGAAAAACACTCCTCACACTGAAATTTGTTTCCTCCCATCTCTGCGTCCTGTCCCTACTCTTGTGCTGGCCCGCAGCCACCGTGGTACCCAGTAAGATCTGTAGGAGATATCTGTGCAAAGGTTTTACTATTGATATTGACTAATACTGCTGTCTCAGAATCCACACATTAGTTCTTTCCAGGGATATAACATTTTTCATTTGACTATTCCAAAGCAGGTTAGAAACATAGTTTAAACATAGTTTATCCTATTTGTACTACTTCATTGTTCTTCACGTTTGCCAACATAAAATTAGGTATTATATATATATTAAGCTGGATATTTCTCCTTATACTTCTTTTATTTAGTGGAGAAAATCAAGTACAAGACTCCTTTAACATGTTTGACATAGAACTCCTGAATTCTTTTTTGGCTTACAAATGGTAATACTAAGGGAGTCTTCTCTGAGCACAATGGACTTGATCTTTGCCACCACTAACAACCAGCTGTTGAGCAATGAATGAGACTGAGTAAAGGGGAGAGCCTGGTACATAGCTCTGTAACTTGCTATGATGGCCCAGCCTCCCATTTCCTTTAAATCTGTTCTCGACTCTTCCTGGAGAAGAGTAGAGAGCTTAAGGTTATCATGAGAATCTTTAACCCACTAGATAGCTCCTGGATCTAGGAATATGTCAGTTGTCTGTTTCTTCTTGCCCTGGAATGTTTAAAACAGGTAATTCTATATATAAAATTCTATTTTGTATAAAATTTTATATATATATATATATATATATATATATATATATATATATCTCCATAAATTATTTATTTTCTTCTGTTCTGGTAGTTATAAGCAAATGGTTTTCCTTAAAGGAGTTTTTAATACCATATATAAAGAGATTGCCAAAGAAACAAATACAGATTACTTTTCAATAATATTTTCCAATAACATTAGGATATTCATTCATTCATTCATTCACATTTTATTTATTTGACAAATATTTGTTGCATATCATAGTAACAGGGAAACAAGACAAAAAGATCAAACTGGATATTGCTCCAGCCTTCATGGAACTTAAAGTACATAGGATGGTTTATATTAATAGGAGATATATATATATATATATATATATATATATATATATATATGCACTGTAATATAGTGGAACAAGGAAAACTAACATTCAATGAGTACCTCCTTTTAAAGGCATATGTTATCTCATTTCTCACCTCTAGCTGTAGAATACCATCTTATGTCATGAACACATTGACACTCATATATACCACTTTTTAAAAAAATATTTATTTGAGAGAGAGTGATACAGGCAGAGCATAAGCAGGGGAAAGGAGGCAGAGGGAGAGGGACAAGGAGAAACAGACTCCCCCACTTAGCAGGGAGTCCAATGTGGGGCTCAATGCTAAGACCTTGAGATCATGACCTGAGCCACCCAGGTGCCCCATGCTTACTACTTTTAAACAATTATTTATAAAATTTATCTGGTAGGAAAAGGTAAGTTTATCTCCTAATTATAAACTCTATTCAAACACTTATTCAACAACAAACATTTGTTGAAAAACTATTTACTGCCAGATGTGATATAGTGGGTAGTCTAGTAAATAAGTAGTTGTAAAAATTTTGTTTCTTTAAGATTTTATTTGTCTGAGAGAGAGAGAGAGAACAAGCAGGGGGAGCTGAGGGCAGAGGGAAAAGCACGATCCCCACTGAGCAAGGATCCCAGGACTACCTGACCTGAAGGCAGACACTTAACCAACTGAGCCACCCAGGCACCCCAGTTGTAACAATTCTAAATTAGAACTATGAATTTACTGTTTAAGTATTAATTAGAACCAGTCAGCTTGGCAAAGAAGAGACTTTCTTTCTTCTGTGGATACAGGATTCTTGGATCTGTATTTCCTAAATGAGTGAGGCCTGCTCTACAGGATGGGGAAGGTCAGTGTGCAGAGAAGGGAGACAGCTATGCCACCTGTGCCCAGGTCTCCAAGAAAGCTGCAGAATATGGGTCTTATGCCCAAGATAAAATCTGTCTTCTACCCCATTTCATAATAACTGTGATATTAAAACTGAAGGTGGGATTTATATAGATAAATAGGTATTTGCACACTCCTTTCTCTAAGTATTGGAAAATTATGTTTGCTAAAATGCTTTGATTAGAAAATAATAATTGTGTGTTTTTTTTTTTTTTTAAGATTTAATTTATTTGTCAGAAAGAGACAGAGAGCACAAGCAGGGGGAACAGCAGGCAGAGGGAGAAGTGGGCTCTGAACTGAGCAAGGAGCCTGAAGTGGGATCATGATCTAAACCGAAGGCAGACGCTTAACTTGACTGAGCCACCCAAGCATCCCGAAAGTAATAATTGTTACTTTGACATTCAAAATAGTATCTGGTGGGCGAGCAGATATCTACTCATTTGCTTCTATCGAGTCTCTCTCTTCCTCTCTACAAATTCTGGAAGTTGATCACTAAGCATATTAGAAAACCTTTCTCCTGGGATTGGAGAAGTAATGAAGCATCATCATACACTGTCCTTTGCTTAGCCAAGGGTGGTGGAGAAAAGTTCTCACAAGGATGTGGACATAAGCCTTCTTTTAAAAATTCAGTTAAAATGACAGTGGACAATTTTCTGTAGACAAAGCATGATAGGACCACAGCTTTGATGGTTTTCTGAAATCCTATGGATTAAAACTTCAGAAAACTTTGCCCCTATTTCATCCCAAGACTTGTGCCTGTAAACTCAATACAGCTAAATATAAATGTAAATTTAGATGGAAATTTTTTACCCCTTTAACATAAAATGCCTTTCATTTGATTTCTCTTCATGGCTGCCAAGTTGAGTAGATAGATAGATACACTGCAGCTTGTGGTTTCTGGGTTTTGTTGCAAATGTTGGAGCAAGGGGTTGATTGATTGGTATAAACATGTAGCAATGGCAACAGCTGCTTAAAAAAAAAGCATAAAAGAGAATGAAATGATTTAAAATAAACAGTGGTTACATTTATGATATACGTACTGCCTGGGTATTTTTAATTTTCCTTGCCTTGGCTAAAAATGAAACACTCATACAGATAGCAGTAAAATAACTATATTCCAAATTCAAGTGTTCATGCCTCAAAAGTATGAGCCTTCTTTAAACCTTTTTAAAATTTTTATTTCATCTTTTTTTCATTGCACTAGGCTTAATTTTCCTGTAAATGTTATCAT